TTGTATGACCCTCCTCCATGGTGTGGAGGGGAGGCAGTTGTTGATGCACAGATACAAAATACACTACAAACATTAAATAATAAGTCTCATTTTCAGAAACTATTGTATATGTCTATGTCCTGGACCCTAAGAGGCACCCATTATCAGTATATCAGGAGACTAAAATAAAATCAGAAAATAAGGAATCAGAGAAATGAGAGTATAGAAAATGGAACAACCAGAATGAAATTGCAGAGAAAGTTGACACATTGTGAAAATTTAACTGTCACTGTACAATTTGCATAGGAATTGTCAAATGAAAACTTACTTTGCTGTGTGCACTTTCTCAGAAAACAAAATACATTATTTAAAAAGATGAAAAGAAACCCCTTGTTAAGACCTCCATTAAAAAAACACTGACAATAATTGTTCACTGACAGATGAAAGTCTTGCCAGACTCAGTTAATATTTTCCTCCAGTGTTCGAGTGGTACTGAACCATAGTTCTAAAGCCCTATTTTTGTGTTGGAGTCCTGTTGTATGCCACACACTAGCCACTCCTTGGAAACCCTAGACAGGGTCATGATGAGTCAGAATCAACTCCACAGCATTTTAAAACAACAATATTTGTGTTGTTTATCATTTACCTTGGAACAAAGTATTAAAATTATGCAAACATTGTCTAAAACTCTCATGAAAAAATTCTCTTCTTCCATCTGTCTAAGGCATCTTTAATTTCCTTGTTTCTTAGACTATAGATCAATGGATTTAACATGGGAATTACTACAGTGTATACAACAGAAGCCAGTTTACTTTGGCTAAGAGAATAATCGGAGCTTGGGCATAAATACACAAAAGTACTTGAACCATAAAAAAGGATCACTGTTGTTAGATGAGAAGCACAAGTGTTGAAAGCCTTGGACCTGCCTTTGGCTGAACTGATCTTCAAAATACTGGCAATGATATAACCATAGGATATCGTGATAATCAGGACAGAGGCAATTCCATAGATCACTGCGATCACAGAAATTATAACTTGTAAGAAAAAGGTGTCAGAGCAAGATAGCATCATCAGTTGGGGCAGGTCACAGAAGAAGTGGTTAATGACATTTGGCCCACAGAAATGGAGCTGAAGTAAACCACACAGTTGGATGAATGAACCACAACATCCAGTTATGCCGGATCCTACCATTATCTTCAGACAGTGGGTAGGGGACATAATGGCTGTGTAAAGTAGAGGGTTGCAAATGGCAGCATATCGATCATAAGCCATGGACACTAAGAGACAGGTCTCAGTGAGACCAAAACTAGATAAGAAGAAGTACTGCATAAGGCATCCTGTAACAGAAATGGATTTCTGCTTCTGGAAGAAGTCTGAAAGCATCTTAGGGGATGATAAGGAAACATAGCCCATATCTAAGAATGCAAGCTTATTCAAAAAGTAATACATGGGTGTGTGCAGGTAGGAGTCTATCTTGATCAGGACAATAAGACCCAGGTTCCAGAACATTGTCATGAGATAGATCCCTAGGAATATTGAAAAGAGGAAGACTGTGAGCTTTGGAAATTCAGAGAATCCCACGAGGATGAACCAGGTAACTGTAGTGCTGTTTCTTCCTTCACCTACTTCCATGGTGCTCCTGAGATCTACAGAGAGAAAGAAAAAGAAATCTCTTGTTATCTCAGTATTCACAGGCTATTGAATTTAAATACTACACATTCTAACAACTTAATTGCAAAAGAAAAACTGATCACTTTTATTTCTTAAACATTTAGAAATTTTCTATTAATGTATGAGCTACATAATGAATAGAACATCTATATCATATAAACATCAAGTTTTATCATTTTCTTAAGTAATATTGTGCATTAAACATTTTTTTTGTGTTACTGCTAGTAGCTATGAAACTCCAAATTCTAACACAAGCAAACTTTGCTCAGTCTTGTACCATTTCCATGATGTTTGGTATTTTTCTGCATGTTATTAAGTTACTTTGTCAATCCACCTCATTAAGAACTTCCCTCGTTTTCATTGGCATTATATGTTATAAACACGAGCTATTTTTCTAGTGATTGGTCTTTCTGATGTGTCCCATGAGTACAAGATAAAGATTTACTATTCTTGTTTCCGTGGACTGTTTCAGTTGTATTACTCCTAAGACTGATTTGTTCATTCTTTTTGAAGTCTGTGGTATGCTCAAAATTATTTGCCAACATCACACTTCAAATATTTCAGTTTGTCTTTTTTGTCATCATCTAACTTCAGTATGCGTATGAGGTGTTTGAGAAAACCATGACTGGGCTAAACCATACCTTAGCTATCATGGTGACATCTT